CCCGCCTCCCCAGCTCCGCCTGGCGCGCCTCCCCGCAGGCCTGCACCCAGCCTCACCTTCGCAGGTGAGCGCCCCCGGGTGCCGCTTCTTCCAACCCTGGCAGCACACGCAGTGGGTCTGCTGCACCTCCCTCCTCACCTCCCGCCACATCATGCGGTAGGTGGTCCTGAAAGAGCGTCCGCCCAGAAGGCGGGATGCAGGTCCTGGTCGGAGTTCCTGAGCCCCCGGGGTCCCGGCTCCCCAGCCCTCACCTGTACGTGCTGCAGATGCGCCTTCCAGCGCACAGAGTCAGGTAGGGCTTGTACACCGGCTGGCTGTAGGACTCATTGTAGCGAAGTGGGACCGCCAGCGTCTGCTTGGAGCAGACCCCCTGACTGCGTCCGTGCCAAAGGAGGAGGTGGGAGACATTGAGGTGGCCCCAGGTGGCCCATTTTCTCATGGGGTCACTGAGATCCTGCTATCTCTGGAGGGGACAGCCTTCCACCTCCACTCTATAAACTTTTCAGTTTTGCCTCCCATAAAGCCCCACCCCCAGTAGAAGGCTTCCCTGAGGTCCCCCACCCCGTTTGTCACCTCTCTTTGAAGGATGCACCGCTGGCCCCCTCTCCTGACAGCAGCAGGAGGAGTGAGAGCCCAGCCAAGACAGCAGACGGCTCAGCCCCGGACCTCATGATTCTCTTTGGCTCTGGACTCAGGCTGCAGGCAAGAAGAGGTTAAATGGGTGCCCTTGCCCTCTGTTAACTCCTCCAGCCCCAGCCCCTCCAAGAGCTGTCACCTGGTGCCCTCAGAGGGCGTCAGGACATTCCCTTTTACACAATAGCCACCAGGGTACGGTTACCACCACCCTGTCCTTGTCCCTTCACGTCTCACAGTCCAGTCGTTGGCAGCACCCAGGCTCACTCCCCAGCCCGCCCTCCTCACCGCCTCTCCACAACCTGGAGGGACACGCACGGCTAACCCACCCCAGGACCCCCACCTCTACAACAAGCCACACCCGATAGGCACCCTCATACCCTATGCGCAAACCCACCGTTGAATGCAATCCTGGTCCCCTCACACCCACGTCATCACATATACGGGAGCCCCATCCCTCACGCAGACAGCACCCCCAGTTTACACCCACTCTGAGGCTCTGAGTGACGCCCGCTCTTGCTCCACTGGCATTCTCTTCCCACTGACGCCCGCTCTTGCTCCACTGGCATTCTCTTCCCACCTGGCTTCCCTGCTCTACTGGGAGGCTTCAGGCAGACCAGCCTCAGCTGCAGCTCAGACTGGTGGGTGGGCCTGCGGGGCCGGGGAGGAGAGGAGGGGCTAGGCTGGAGTCCTCCCATCCCTGCCCCTTCCCACAAGCCTCCTCCTCAGCTCCCACGCAGTGGGGTCAAGTCCCACTGCCCTCCCTCCCCATCCCAGCAAGAGCTCCTAGAAGCATCTCCCAGCCACCCCTCTGGGGCCCTCTGTATCCAGACTCCCCAAATCAGCAGACTCCTGGCTCTATGCCATTGCCGTACCCCTGGCCCTTGGCCCTCCCACCCCCACACCTTCAACCCAGCACAGACTGGGGAGGTATGGGGGGCAGAGGGAGAGACAAAGCTGGCAGGGAACAAAGCAGGCCAGGTCATGGGAGAAGAGGCCAGATCAGATGAGAAAAGGGCAAGTCTTCACACAGGGGCAGAGACAGCCCAGGGCACTGGGGAAAGTGCCCCCATCTCCTAGTGACATTTGTTAGGCCTCGGAGGGGACAGAGTTGAGTCAGCCACCGCCCCCCATGCCAGAGCAGACAGGGCCCTATTGTCTTTGCCAAAATTCCTTCTTTCAAGGAAAAGGAGGCTCATTGTCCAGCCCCTCACCCAGCTCTGGTCTACAAAGGTCGAAAAGGGGCACGACGCATGCCCACCC